AGTAGCAAGAGATTAAAATCATCTGTGTATCAGCAATAAAGCTGATGTCACACAATTGATTTATACAGGTAAATAGTCGTGTTGCAAAAGAGAAGTCCATCTATTTCAACCAATAGAAAAAAAAAAAACAGAAATAAATGGAAAACCCCCATATACATGTAGTACACCCCCAAAAGAGCTGTTGAATGAAACAACCCTCTGAGTAAAATCTGGAGCAGGAGCTACAAATGTTACCACCTAAACCACTCTGACACCCCCCCCGACAATGAGTAGGCAACACCAAATCGATTGAAGCTGTGGTTCTATTAACATAAAATAGGTTGAACAAGAATAATGCAACATAGTCAAAGAGCAAAAGAATGCAATGACCCCCAAACACTATACAGAGACCTTCCACACTACATATGTCCATGGACTAACAAGAAAAAAGCCCCAGGAAATGATGACTGGGCCCAGATTCAGGTACAGAAAGGGTGCAGTGATGGCAGCAAGAAGTGGATTAGCAAAGCCTCTGTAGACTATGCTACCATCAAATCCCCCTGGAGTGACCCAGCTATATTCAATTGTGCCTGCAGGACTTCACAGTATACCCGACAATCCCCCCTCTCCCCATAAAGGGGAAGAGCTTGGATAGTAAAGTCTGTGGAGAAGGGTATATATATATATATATATATATATATATAATATATATATATAAAAACACGGTTCTCCCCAGAAATTGAGGAAAGGGATTTAGGTCTAGCCGGCTTGATTGGGGACCTTACGGTGGTGCACAGTCAGTAGAGCTCAATGGTCCTCGCCAGCTTAGAGTCAGTTAGACAGATGTAGCAGAAGGAGCTGGAGGGGTTAACTCAAAGGAGCTCCAGTCAATCACAGAGTTGCAACAAGTTCAAGATGGGAGGAGTGGGAATCATCAATGGTGCGGTTATTGAAGCTGAAGGTGTAGTCTCGAGGTATTAATACAATAGCCCTAGAGAATGGTCTGGGTAGGCTGCATGACACTCAAGGGGAAGGTCAGGTAAGGAAAAGATGAACTAAGGTGTCAGTGTCTGCTACACAGTGCAGTAACAACCCTCTTACCAAACTACTGCATTTCAGCAGTAGGTCCCAGTGGTGGAAGGGCCCTCATGCACTGATGTGATGACTCTAGGGAACCCACTTGGCTCCTCTGGATGTGCTGGGCAGACTAGTGACACAGTTCTGGCCCTCTGGGATATTGGGAATGTACTGTCAACTCTGCTCTGTATAGCTGCAGGCACTGGCGCCAACAATTTTGTAGGAGCCTAAGAGTCAGCGTCGTAAGTAATCTTAGTAACAGTCCCTGGGACATTGTCAACCTTGCCCTTGGCTCACACATATCATTCCTTCTTGTGGGTGGTCCTGCCCAGATAACACCAACTTTCTGGCATGCGAGAACCATCCAGCTGAAGCCATGGTCCCCTCAATTATACCCTTTTTTTTAGTTACTGCACATGCTCAGTAACTCTATAAAAGGGTGATGCTGTGATCCTAAGACACAACCCGGGACACAGCTTCCTCTGGATGGAGGGCAGAGATGTGGGATTGTCCTGGCAAATCCAGGAAAGTTGGCAGAACAAGTGCCATTTAGAAAGAGGTCAAATGCAACTTGTGGGGATGTGCAGCATGTTGCGGTGGCACCAATAAACAGTCCGGTTGCAGGAAAAGAACTTGTATTATGATCAAAATTCAACTTCACAAACAGCCCAGCAGGAAGACACATGACCGCGAACACTCACAGGTTGTAATGGCAGAGTGGAGTGGAGCAAGTCTCAGATGTGCCATCAATGGCTCTCCTAGAGGGCAGAATGCAGCCTGGCCAGTCTGTGCCCAAATCGGAGGATTCCACAAGCATTGTGTGTCCCTAGCCTCTCCCTACATGTCTGGAACCTTTCCCTACTGCTGGTCACTGTCTCTGACAGACAGGAGAACTGTCCCTACACTTGCCACTTGCAAAATGAGTGCCAAACCGGGGAGCCAGGGTCTTACAAAGACTCTGCCTGACCCAAGATGGCCACCAGAGTCACATGGGGTGGCAGCATCCAACCGGATCACTTCCACAGTGACCCAGGACACCACAGAAGAGCATGTTCTTCTTGACTTCCTCTCCCTCTGCAATAATAATGTGTTTAGCGCAGGGGCGGACTGACAACTCATGGGGCCCCCAGGCAATAGAGGTCATGGGGCCCCTGCGTCCTTGCCCAAACTCATAAAAGCCTATGAAAAAAGGTACCAGGGGCATCTCATGGGGCCCCCTACTGACCCCGGGCCCTCGGGCAGTGCCCGAGTTTCCAAATGGTCAGTTCGCCCCTGGTTGAGCGCCACCGGCAGTGGAGGAAATAGACTGCACATACCTAAAACCTGTCAATGAATTTTGAATGATCTTAGAAGAGAGATGTCAAACTGATTCCATCAACACATCCAAAGGCCCTTTAAAAGATTACTCTCTGACGACTGTTGACGTAATTATTAATCTTCTAAAAATGATCCATGTGATCATTCAATCGCCTCTCTTGAACAAGATCCAGAAGTTGAGAATGTGTAATATAACATTTGCCAGACCCCAATCTGAATGACACAATGCCAAGCGAGACCACGCCCACTTTTCTAAGCTACGTCCTCCCTGTGTATAAAACTCGAAAGAGTCCATCGGGTATTATGATTGCAATTTTCTCACAGTTGTCATGCCCAGAGCAAGACCTCCATAGCTGGCATGTGTTACAAGTGATATCATTTATTCCTTATTAGTGCTTTCCTGAATATCACACCGAGGGGAAGCTGAGCACATAAGATAATGAACTTGAAGCTGGTCCAGCATACAGGCAGCTGCTGCTCCACATATTCTGGGGCCAGTTCCATAGAACCCCAGCTGCTGCTGGGAAATGAGGGAAAGATACAGACACAAGCTCCTACAACAGCGATGGGACTCATGCTGGGCTGATAATAACAAGAGAGAGATGGCAAGATTTGATGGAACACCATAGACATTGTGCAGTCTCAGGAGCTACATGCCAGATATCTACACCTGGAAGATGCAGCCTACCTGACTCCCTGATGTCCACCTCCTGCATCTCGATGACCTGCTAGCCAGATCTTTCTTGTTGCAAGGAATCGTATTGTTGCAATGTCCAGGGCAAGGGCCCTCAGACCTTCCAAAGAAAGGGCCAGGTCACTCTCCTTCGAACTTTAGGGGGGGCAGACTGCGGCCAGTGAGAGATGAAAATGTCCTGGCCCCATAGATCAATGGGAACAAAATAGTGTCTCGTCATTGGTGTCAGTGAGGAACAGCGTCCCATCTCTGGTGTATGTAAGAATATAATATAATAGATTGTAAGCTCAAAAGAGCAGGGCCCTCGAACCCCTCGTGTATTGTACTGTATTGTCTCATGTACTGTCCCCCACTATATTGTAAAGCGCTGAGCAAACCTCTTGGCGCTATATAAATACTGTATAATAATAATATGTAGGAGGAACAGTTCCCGATTGTTGGTGTCAGCGAAAGGAAGGAATAAATACCCCATTATTGGTGTCATTGGTAGGAACAATTGCTCCAATATTGGTGTCAATGGGAGGAATGGTGTCTCATCGTTGGGTATGTAGAAGGTATGTTGGTGTCAGTGAAAGAAGGAATAATACCCCATTATTGGTGTCATTGGTAGGAAAATTGTATTGGTGTCAGAGAGGAATAGTGAAAGGAAGGAACAGTGAAAAATGAAAGGAAGGAATAATACCCCATTATTGTTAGGAACATTGCTCAATATTGGTGTCAACGGAGAATAGTGTCTCCCATGCAAAAGTGTTTTGCCCAGTGGGAGGACAATTGCTCCAATATTGGTGCAATGGGAGGAATGGTGTCTCATCGTTGGTGTCATGTGGAAAGAGCAGTGCAAATTGTTGTGTCAGTGAAAGGAAGGAATAATACCCCATTGTTGGCGTTAAGTAGTGCCCCATCAGTGTTTTCAGTGGAATAGCGCTTCATCATTGGTGTTAGTGGAAAGTTTAATGTCCCATCATTGGAATTGTGCCCCATTGTTGATGTCAATTGGATAAATAGCACCCTATTGTTGGTGTAAACGGTAGAACTAGTTCTCCATCAATGGTGTCATTGGAAGGAATTGTGAACGTTTGTTGGTGCCAGTGAGACAAATAGTGCTCCAAAAGCCAGTTAGAGTCAAGCAAAGTGCCACAGCCTTATGAAATAGAGCACATGGCAGGGATAGTAAGGGGTCTGAAGGACAGGTCCACTTAAAGCTTGCAATCTGACCTGAAAAGTGGATTACAGCCCCCGCTCCCACACCCAAATAATTTTTTTTCTGCCCAGAGGAAGGGAAAGGGGCCAGAATCTAAAGCAATGAGTTCTCTCTCCCAGAATCCAAGATAAAATAAATAGGGAGCTAAAAGCACTAGTGAAATAACAGTTTTAGATACAAACCAACAGTTTCTTCGATATATCCCCAGCTTCAATATATACACAGTTTTGATACATCCCCAGCTTTGATACATCCCCAGTTTGATATATCCCCAGTTTTGATACATCCCCAGTTTTGATACATCCCCAGTTTTGATATATCCCCAGTTTTGATACATCCCCAGTTTTGATATATCCCCTCCTGCTCTCTAGCTCACTCTTCACTTCCTCCCAAGATGACCTCCAGAACTTCTTTAACCCCTTGCCTACTGGGCACTTATATCCCCTTCCTGCTCAGGCCAATTTTCAGCTTTCAGCGCTGTCACACTTTGAGAGACAATTGTGGGGTCATGCAACACTGTACCCATATGAAATTTTTATAATTTTTTTCACACAAATAGAGCTTTCTTTTGGTGTTATTTAATCGTCGCTGAGCATTTTATTTTTTGCGCTATAAACAAAAAAATAGCAAACAATTTGAAAAAAAAAGTTTTTCTTTGTTTCTATGATAAAATTTTGCAAACAGGTAATTTTTCTCCTTCACTGATGTACATTGATGAGGCTGCACTGATAGGCAGCACTGATGGGCACTGATAGGCAGCGCACGTATTGGCACTGTTGAGGTGGCACGGATAGGCAGCACTGATGGGCACTGATAGGATGCACTGACAGGAGGCACTGATAGGCGGCACTGATAGACGGCATTGATGAACTTGCACTGATGGGCAGCACTGATGGGTGACACAGATGGGCGGCACTGATGGGCACTAATGATCAGTGTCGATCCCTTCGCTGTTCTCGGCAGTACTTTCCTCACAGTGTGAGGCCAATAGCCGTCAACTATTTACTCGGTGACCTGCTGTGTCATTGGACACAGCTGATCACGTGCTAAAAGGCTGCCGTGATTGGCTGTTTACTGTATCACATGATCAGCTGTGTCCATAGGACACAGCGATCACAGAGATCACCGGGTGCTCACCGCTGGGGGGCGTGTTCTGGAATGGCGTCCATGGACAACGTCCCAGGACCAGACAACCACGCTGTAGCCGTCCTTCGGCAATAGCGAGGCAGGGAACTGGTTAAAGCCTTTCCTATCCTCTGGAACTTCCTACCACAGTCTCTCTGACTATCTCCTATTCTGTCCAACTTTAGACGGTCCATGAAAACCCATCTCTTCAGGGAAGCCTATCCTGCCTCCACCTAAAAGGAGGTCATCTCATTGTTGCCCATTTAGTGCACCTGTTCATAATTTCATTAACACCAAAGCAGCTGAATTTGAATTGATTAACAACCCCCTCTGCTACTTAACTGACCAGATCAATATCCCAGGAGTTTCATTGACTTGATGCTAGGCTCTGATGAAAAAGTGTTCCTGAGCAGTGTATAACAGAAGAAAACATTGCAACTAATCTCCTCCTCCACTTGGCACATTTTCTTTTGTACATGCTTTCAGACACTTCATAATAGGCATGTGCTGCATAGAAAATATGATTTTAGGGCTGATGGCATTGTATCAACCAGATACGAAGCAACCTAACAGTTAACTGTTTTTTTTTTTTTCAACAGAGGTAATTCCTAAATACTTTCTTCACTGGTTTAGTTCTCTGGAAGTCAATTTTCTCTGCGGTTTTTACTTTGCAAACCTCTATCAGTCCTGAGCCACTTTTTTCCTGGAACACATTAAAGGGATAAAGGAACGGCAGGGACCTTGTTAAGACTTCTGTAATGAAAGGCTCTCCGGGAGCGCTGAAGAAGCTCAGCTCTTCTACAAAACTCATCCATCGCCCCCGTCTCTGAGATTGATAGCCCTCCAGCCAGGAACGGAGCTGCTGCATCGTCCTCTTATGTTTCTCATTAAAGAGGAGCTGATGCCACAACCGTCCCCGTGTTTAGCGTTCGCCCTCTAATGAGACGCCACCTTGGTAAACCAAGGCAGTTTGTCTTCTGATAAGTTCCAACAAGCTTTGATTCTCTGCTCTGATCTGGGGAACGCTCTGTTCGTGAAGCGCTCTGGTACGTGGAGTACGTTTAAAAAGACAAGCCAGTAAAAAATGTTTCCAAAAAGTTATAACACTCACAGACTACCTAAAAAGCTTCTCTATTTCTGTGCAGGTAATATTGGCTCTGGAAATCGCAGGATTGCGATGTGGCCAGGGGTGGATGGACCATTTGGAAACTCAGGCACTGCCCGAGGGCCCGGGGTCAGTAGGGGGCCCCATGAGATGCCCCTGGTACCTTTTTCATAGACTTTTTTGAGTTTGAGCAAGGACACAGGGGTCCCATGTTCCCCTATTGCCCGGGGGCCCCATGAGTTGTCAATTCGACCCCTGGATGTGTCTGCTATATCCTGAAGGGCGTAAGAATTATTTATTCTTCTTTTAGGGAGTTTTAAGTCTGCCTCCTCGAAGGCAAAGTTTAATCTGCTTAGATTTTGCCTTTCCTGGTTCTTTGTGTCCCCCCAAATCAACTTGTTAATGACATTTGTAAATATATTTTACACAATATACCTTATTTTACAACCAGTGATGTCATCACTGGGTCACTGCGCTTCTCTATGTAATGCAGGCAGATCATGGCTTATGGGATGGGCTGGCAGGGTGCTGCACATAGCTTCCTGAAAACATTGCACTCTGCTTCAGTACTTCAAAATTCCTAAGCCCTTATCAGGGGCAGACTGACAACTCATGGGGCCCCCGGGCAATTGGGGATCATGGGGCCCCTGTGGCCTTGCCCAAACTCAAAAAGCCTATGAAAAAGGTACCAGGGGCATCTCATGGGGCTCCCTACTGACCCCAGGCTCTTGGGCAGTGCCCGAGTTTCCAAATGGTCAGTCCGCCCCTGGCCCTGATGCAAGCAGAGGGTTGGCTTTTGGAATTATTCTAATATAATGCATTGATGGGTAGATGTCTGTATGACTGGAAGATTCTAGTCAGGCTGTATTTGCATGCAGACTACCCTCGGTAATGTGTATTTGTGATGCTGAGCCTGTGTGATTGAAGAATCTGAAATCCAGAGAATAAAAGGGGAAGCCCAGGGACAGTCAGGCTGGGAAGGAAAGGGCTGGATGATGCTGGACATCCAGCCAGGAAGTAACGCGGACTCTGACTTGCTGAGGTGTTTAGTTCCTGAGATCTGATCCTACAAACGAGTGCTTTACAGAGTACGTATGGCCATATTTGTGGATTGTATGGAAGGATTGGGACCCTTGCTAGTTTTTTCTTTTTATTGCTGTCTCTGTATCTGGTATGTAGTTTCACCCTCCTGTATTTGTCCTGTGCCTCTTGTCATCAACACTTGACATGTGCGCTTCGTTCTCATTCTCAATCAAAATTTGGACATTTTTTTCATTTGGGGATTCTGATGTAACTGAAGTTTCTGAATTGCCGTATTATCAAATGTAAACAAATCAGAAATAACAAAACCAAATTTCATACATTTGAAAACAAATTCATAAACATTGCTGACTATTGATGATTTCCTTCAAAAACTGCGTGTATTAATGTTAGAATATAGCTGCCTTCTGAAATTCAAATTTTGAAAAGAATAGAATAAAACAGAATAGAATAGGATAGAAAATAAAGGAATAGAATAAAATAAAATAGAATAGATTAGAATAGAATGAAATATAAAGAATATAGCCGTCTTTCGAAATTCAAGTAGAATAGAATAAAATAGAAAGAATGTAGCTGTTTTCTGCAATTTGAATTTCAAAAAGCATAGAATAGAAATGAATAGAATAAAAGGATAGAATAAATAGAATATAGTCGTCTTCCGAAATTCACATTTTTACATTTGTATAGAATAGAATGAAATATAAAGAATATAGCCGTCTTTCGAAATTCAAGTAGAATAGAATAAAAAAGAAAGAATGTAGCCGTCTTCCGTAATTTGCATTTTCAAAATAATATAGTAGAATAGAATAGAACAGAAATTAATAGCATAAAAAATGGATAAGATTAGAATAGAATAAAATAAAATAGAATATAGTCATCTTCCGAAATTCACATTTTTAAATTTGTATAGAATAGAATGAAATATAAAGAATATAACCGTCTTCCAAAATTCAAAAAGAAGTTAGTTACATAGTTACATAGTTAGCCTGGCTGAAAAAAGACAAAAGTCCATCCAGTTCAACTACAAAAAAAAAAAAAGTTATAATCCTATACCCTCAGTTGATCCAGAAGAAGGCAAAAAACCCAGCAAAGCATCATCCAATTTGCTCCTGCAGGGGAAAAAATTCCTCCCTGATCCCCCGAGAGGCAATCGGATATTCCCTGGATCAACTTTACCTATAAATGTTAGTATCCAGTTATATTCTGTGTATCCAAGAAACAATCCAGGACTTTTTGGAAGCAATCTATAGAGCTGGCCAGAACCAACTCTTGAGGGAGTCTAATAGAATAAAATTGAATAGAATAAACAAACCCAATAGATTAGAATATAATAGAATGAAATAGAATATAGCCATCTTTCACAATTTAAATTTCAAATAGAATAGAATGAAATATAAAGAACATAGCCGTCTTTAGAAATTCAAATTTTGAATAGAATAAAAAATAAAAGAATAGAATAGAAAATAAAGGAATAGAATAAGAAAAAAATAGTAGAATAGAATATAGTCATCTTCTTAAATTTGAATTTAGAAAAGAAAAGAATAGAATAGAAAGTAAACGAACAGATTAGAAAAGAATAGAATAATACAAAATAGAATAGAAAATAGAAAAACAGAACAGAATAGAAAAAAAATAGAATAGATTAGAAAGAATATAGCCATGTTCCAAAATTCGAATTTCGAATGGAATAGAAACCAGCTTTCTTCACAATGAATCGGATCATTTTGATATTTTCTTTGAATCCATTGGAAAAATTCAAATCTGGTTGAAAATGAGTAAATGAAACAAAACTAAACTAAATTAAACAAATTTCATTACGAATGCAATAAAACAAAATTAGTAACTTAACAAATTCATCCAAAACTAGACAATCATTCACTTATTTAGTTGTTAGGTTATCTTTATTTTATATTAAAAAAAATTTTGTGCAGTAATGGTATGCTTGATATATGTATCTTTTTTAGTTACCTACTACCTGCCTATACACAGAGCAGGTAAGTATGAAGATTGTTATTTTAATTTTTTTTTCAAATTAAGCTTTTCAATCACTTTAAACTCCTAAGAGAAGCTAAATACTAAAAGTGATTCACACCTAAATACCAAATCAACCAATAAAGTGCAGCTCCTAAATACACAATCCCTACATCCAAATGTATTCATAACCCACATGGAAGAAAAATATAGTTGAAATATATTTAAAAAATATTCTTCCTAAATATTTTGACATGTATTTGAAATGCTACAATTTCGGCCATATTCAATATATTTCAATAAAAAAAATATATATATATATATTGCATGTTGAAATGTGTTTTATTACAAAATATATGAAAAATATTTTTAAAAATACATTTCAAATATACTGTATGTCTTTAAAAATACAAATCTACATTTTTGGAATGCATTTACAAATACTGTATATGTAAAATGTATATGTTAAAAAAATCTGAAGAATATATTTAAAAAAAATAATAATATAAGAATATACATCATATTCTTCAGGTTAGCTAAATGCTAATGCAAAAACGCTAAAAAAAGCTGAAAAACTCCTGTTTTTAACATGACTTTACACAGCTAACGTTACCATCAAGTGTGCATGAGGGCTGGGATCTATGTGGTGGACTATTTTTTTCCCTCTGCTACACCTTGGTGGAA